CAGCAAGGTCAGGGTGGAATTTTCAGGGTCCCAGTTCACAGATAGGCAGGAATGCGGAGGTGCTGTGACTCTAGCTAACATGACCAGTACTGTGAGACACTGGCTACAAAAGGAAGGGCGGGAGTATCCAGAAACCGTGGACACATGGGGTTCTGATCACTGGTCCCCATGCTGGCAAAAACTTTCAAGGGCCTGGGGGATGGAAAGTTCAAAAATCCCCCCTGGTGGCCATTGTGTCCCATTGTCAAGGCCTTAGTTGCACAGAGAAATCAGGTGTTCAGGACATATGGTGTCAGACCACAATTTAAATAGATTTTGTAAAAGGCAGCCCAAGGGTGTTTGGGGATCTGGCTTTGAATGGCAGGTGCCCTTTTCACAAGTCTATGCCAGAACCCAAAGCCTAACACAATGTTGTCCACTGTGGTAGGCTTTGGGTCAAAAACAGACAGGGTGTAGGAGATCCCTTGAACAGAGAATCTTCTGAAGAAGAAGAAGGGTTCCCACTGGACAAGGCAGGCCCTTGTTCCAGTAACAGGTCGGGGGCCTGGTATGGCTGTGTCTTGCCGGACACCTGAAAATTGTGGAGGCCCTGGGGTCTCTAAGGCAGTGACTTGAAAAGGACAACTTAACCCAGTCTAAAGCAGATCTAGCCCGGCAGAGAGCAGGTATGGGGGGAGAAGGATGTTTTCCCACCACAGGGCCCTGGACCAATGGGGGCATAACAGCCCCCTCGGTGGGACCTCCAGACGAAAATTTTCTACATCCCTACAACCCGATTAGCCTCTCCGCCAATGCAGTAATCCGTATCTGACCAAATCAAACTGGATACATGTGTTTTCTGGGGAGGCAGTTTAAATATCCTGTAGGAGTGGGCTTGAGTACCTCTGGGGAGGCGGGGGGAAATCATCATTTGTCGGGCTTTCTGAGATGCAGCAGGGTTTGGAGGAAGATAGGTAAAGGAGGAAATTGGGTGGAACTTCCACCATAACACCTAGTAGGGCAGCATCTCAAGAAGGGATTTCAGGGGAAGCTGACAACCCACAGGGGAGAGAGCTGGCTGTCTGAAAAACACACATGGATTGTGTGCAAGAAACAGCAAGTGTGATTGGAGCTGCCTGAAGGCATACCTAGCTGGTCTAGGGCTGGTAAGCCCTGTGGTGATTGGAGCCCATGAGCTTTTGGAGTCTGTGTGGCAGCTGGAGACTATTGTAGGAAGCCATAACAGGAAAAAATACAAACTTGGTCCTGAGGCTTGGGGAAAAGGAAAAGAAAATCTAACCTGCTTGGCTGTGACTGCAGTGGGAGCCCTCTCATGTACCAGAGGCTGCAATGCCACAGGCAAGTGGCCTTTTCAAGATCCCTGCGGTAACGTTGGTTGCCAAATTGTTGCATGAGTTCTAATTGGTCTTAATAACGAGAACACTTCAGGACAAATGCTGAAAAGGTCAGAGAGGAAGGAACAAGCCACAGACAGCTCTTACCTTGCTAACTCGGCCCCACAAAAAGCTGACCTCCTGTCTCTCCCTGCCGTATAGTCCTCTCTCTGCCCAGCGGTAACACTTGCTCTCTGTCTGTACAGAGACATCTAGACCTCTATGGTGAACTAGTGGCTAACTCTGCCCTCTCATCTTCAGACAAGCTTTACTTGTTAGCGTACAGAGAAGATATCTGTGTCAGAAATCTAGATGCTTTCTGAAGTATCCTTTTCTCATATGCAGACTTCACTGATGCACCTGACCTACTCACCTTTGGAGCAGAACAAACAGGCCTGAGGAGACAGGAGACAGTGGCTAAGTAAGGATCCAGGCTTGGTGGAGGGATTGGTGAAGGTATGCAAAGGGGGTCATGTAAATGAAATCAGTTTTGACACATTCTGTTTCACTAGAAATAATTCTGGAGACACCCACTGAGAAATCGTCAGGATTTTCCTAATGTGGGCATGAGAAGACTTTCTTCAGAACAACTGATAATGGAGTCAATAAAATTTTATTTGACTATGCATGTGAGTGATGCTGTCCTCATTCATTAACATCACAGACCATGTTTTCATACCATTGTTGAATCATTTTCATTTTTTAGATTTTTATGTACTATAAAAATGGTAAAAATTAATACCTCTAGGTTTATTTATTGTTTTCAGAATTTTTTTGAGCTTTGGTATTATAGCTTTCTCTACCTTTTAATGTTTTTGTTTCCAATCCTGAAAATGATGCCAACATAGTTTTGATAAGAATCAGGAAGTATATTTACAGCATGTTAAATTCTATCCATCCTCCCTCTTATTGTCTCCTATTGTCTGTTGGAAATTAAGATAAATAGAGTGCAGTAAGGACTTCTGCTGATTTAGTAAAGTACTGGTTGTAGACTCTCTAAGATCCATGCCTTTGCTAGCCTTGGGGAAAGAGGAGAGGCTTCCAGTACCAGGCATGTTCTCACTCTTGTTGAGAGTGTCTTAATCCAATTACTAGCTGTTGGTTACCACCAAGGTATATGTGCCACCCTTGTATGCCCAGGGCTGCATGCAGTGTTGTGGTCCATAGTTGTCATAGCTGGGTAAGACTATTGTCTGGCTCTGCCTTTGGAAGCTTGCATGTTGCCTTCTCGTACCATGGGAGCTAGTCCCCAGGGAGGAGGCTTTAAGGTCAGTTCTGTCTCCAGTTCTCTAGTATTTGTGTCTGAAGTTTGTGACTTCTTCAGCACTAGGGAATCATCTTCTGTCTCTGGGAGGCAACCATGGGCAACAACAATACCAAGTAATGTTTGGAAGTCTCTCGGACAACTGTGACCAACAACTTCTAAGTAAGCAGGCTTCTTACTGCTGGTGTTGGTCATTTTGTTAGAAAATCTATAGCTCTTGTGAGGATCTGTAGCACGACTTCTATTTGGTCTTCAATATAAAAATCCAGAATCAGATATTAGCAGTGTTATGGTGGAGGTTCCACCCAAGCCCCCCATCTCCCTGCAAACCTTGCTGCATCTCAAAAGGCTCTGCCAAATGATGGCCTCCTCCCCCAGACATACCCAAGACTATTCCCACAGGGCATTTAAACTGCTCTGCAGAGAACAGACTTGTGTTTTTTCCACTCTCCCTTTCCCCATATCCTCTTTGGGTGGGGGGAGCTGTAAGGCCATCCGGCAGTGTTGTATCCAGTAAACGTGGGCCTTTTCTAATTCGTTTTGATTTGGTCTGCTTTGGATTGCTGCATCAGTGGAGAGGCTTATTGGAGTCTAGAGACTTTTCACCTGGATGTCTCACACAGGGGTCTGCTTTCCCACCACTGGTCCAGGGACACATGGTGGGAAAACACCCTTCTCCGACACACCTGCTCTGCACTAGGCTAAAATGAGCTTTGGACTAAGTTGTCCTTTCTAAGTCATTGCCTTAGAGGCTCAGGGCCTTCGAGGAGTTTTCGGGGGTACTGTGAAAGACAAGGGCCCAAAACTGTTAGCGGGACAATTACCTTAGCAAGCAGGTGAGTGTTGAAAGATCAGAGAAGCAGGGCAGCCAGCCACTAGAGTTCTTACCTCTACAAATGCTCAGACCAAAAGGGCCATCCTATCTTGAGGAATCCTCAGGCTGAATGCTCTCTCTACAAAACCTCCTACTGAATGCATTGAGCTCCTCTCTTCTCCAGCCTTGTATACATACCCCTCTCCTCACAGTTATATCAATCCTGGCTCTACCATTCTGGTGATGTGATTAAAGGGGTGAGCTGTGTTTTTCTTTTAGGCTGGTTAAAACTCGTGTAGCACAGGGTGGTCTTGAACTCACAGAGATCTGTACGCCTCTGTCTCACCACTGCTGGGATTAAAGGTGTGTGCCACGACTGCCTGGCCTCTGTGACTAACTAGTATGGCTAGCACTGCACTCTGATCTTCAGGCAAGCTTTACTTGTTACAGCACAAACAAAATATCACCCCCAAGGAGCACCATCCAGTTGGGAAATTTTCATTTATACACTAAATGTATGTGCTTCCACAGGCTTTTATGTACTTACTATACACAAATTTGGCGGCTGGATAATAGTCAAGGAATAGGTGGATTCCTTATAAATTTTCTACACACCCCTACTGTTATCTACCCCCTCACACACTTCTTCTCTTGTTAATATCTGCCCCTTATCCATAACTAAATCCTCACACCTGTTTTTCCATTTCCCCCTTCAGATCAATTGTTTCCTGTTACTCCCTTCTCTACTACTCCCACACACCTCCCAGGGCTGTCTTGTTACTTTTCTGGTTACTCCAGTTACCCCAGGTTGTGTATTCACATCTGAGCATTTGGAGCTAGGAATTTCCTATGAGAGAAATCGTGCAATGTCTGTTTTTCTGGTATGTATGTACTACCACATTTTCACTGTCCATTTGTCATTTGGAGGACATTATGTTGTTTCCATTTTGTAGCTATTGTGTGTAGAGCAGAAATGAATAAGGGTGAGCAAGTATCTTTGGAGTAGGATGTTGAGTCCTTTGAGCCTATGGCAAGGAATGGAGCAGCTGGGGCATGAATTTATTAACTTGAAGGTTTGCTTATTTGAGGATCCTCTTTTGTGATTTTCAGTGTGGCTAGTTTTGTTTTGTTTTCATGGCATTTTCCCAATGGTTTTGTTTTCATGTTGTCACTGGTTGGATTGTTCATAATATTCCTCCTTTTTGGAAAATAGTGAGTGATTTGCTGTATGGCTCGTAGATAATTACTTCCCAGTTTCTCTGTATTTATTCTTCCCATGGCATTTATTATTTCCCGTGTTCTCTTGAATGATTCCTCTGATACTCCTGTGTATTTTTTTTTTTACCTCTAATGTATTTAATGAAGTAAACCTGTTTTAATTGGTGACTATCTTGAATGCCTTTTCTCTCCATCAATGTTAAGAGATTAGTTTTCTTTGTGCAACAAGATGCTTGATGGTGATTTTCTCTTCAAGCTTCAGATGTCTTCCATGCTCTTCTGGGATCATTGACTAGAGACCTGATAGAATACTGTTGCTTGGGTATTTTCATGTGGTTTGACATTTTTCTCTAACAGCTTTCAGTATTAATTTTAACTCTTCCTTTTTGACCACTTTATTTGAAAGGGAAGCAAGCCATGTATTCGTTGTTCCTGAAAGAGGAACTCAAAGAAGAGAAATTGTAAGAAATGGCTGATTCTCCAGTAAAGATGTCCCAGGTCAGTGGTCCTTTTTACTCTTTATCTAAAAATGTTATACTTTGATATATTGAAACTCTTAGTTTTCTGCTTCTGATTTTTAAATTTTTCATTATTAACAATTTGGCAAGCAAACAAGAAAATCCCACACTGAAATTAAGCAGACTCAAACACTACAACTCAGTGTACTTTTATGCAGTTAGAGCTGTCACAGGGAATAGAAACTCTGGAGCCTCACATGGGGTTTTATATTTCACAATCTACTATGTTTTGATTTACTTACCCACCACCCAAACCCCCAAAAGCTTTGACAAAATTAGAACTAGAAAAGGATTTAGTTTTATGTCCTTTTTCATAACTGGTATTCATTACCTGCATTCAGTCCCTGATAATTTAACCTTTTTCTGTTTTCTTCTCCATGTTATACTGTGCCCACATATACGTTGTTTCTATATACATATATTATGGATAGATTCTGCATATGAGCAAAAATTGTGGTATCTTCTTTCTGAAAGTGTATGGCCGCACTTAATGTTACACATTTTGTGTCCATCCATTTCCCCTTCAAATTTTTTATTTTATTTTTCTCTCCAGCTGAATTGTATTCCATTTTATACAATTTTCATTATCCAGTCATCTGTTGATAATTAGTTTGATTCCAATATATTTCCTCTCGTGATAAAACAACATGTTTACTGTTTTATCTCTGTAGTTGGGTGTTTTTTTCTCTGGGTGTATGGCCAGGAAGAACTGGGATACATGTTAGTTCTCTGTAAAATTTTTTCAATAATTTCCAAATTGATGTTCAGAATGGCTGTATTAATTTTTCTCCTCCCCTCCATCAACAGTGAGTAGGGATTCCTTTCTGTCCATATCCACTCAAACATTTCTTGTCAGGTTAATAGATGACAGCCATTCTGCCTGGAATGAGGCCATATGTTTGTAAGTAGGTTTTTTGTTTGTTTGTTTTTGTTTTCTTGTTTTTGGTTTTTTGAGACAGGGTTTCTGTGGTTTTGGAAGCTGTCCTGGTCCTGGAACTAGCTCTTGTAGACCAAGCTGGTCTCAAATTCACAGAGATACGCCTGCCTCTGCCTCCGAGTGCTGGGGCTAATGGCATGCTCTACTACTGCCCAGCTCCAAGTAGTTTTAATTTGCATTTCCATGGTGGTCTTTTTTGGAATCCTGAATGCTTTTGCAATGTTTATTGGCCATTTGAGTGGTCTTTGTCTTTGGAATAGTGTCTGTTTAGTTCATTTGCCCGTTTGTTGATTTATAATTTTATTTCCTCGATATTTAATTAATCAGACTTTTGGTAAATTCTTGCTATGAGCCTTCAAAATGTCACTGGTAAAGGTTTTCTTAGTAGTTTTACCTTAAACATTTTTGGATGTGTTTTAGATTTCCCTCAGTTTTTATGCTCTTTGGGAGTGAAGTGAAATATTGTTTGAAACTTCTGAAATTGTTATTTGTCTGCTGGCTTATGCATATTCTTAGGGAAATTTTGGATTATATCAAATATTGCAGATACAGAAATTTCTATCTCATCTTAGTGGCCCAAATATTCTCATAAAATTAAAAGTGAAAGCATGTAGTGATGTTAAAATCCTTGCTACTATGGAAAAAAACCAAAACTCTTTGTCTATAAAATCCATCATATAGTCTGCCTTCTAACCTACCCATTTGCTATTTAATGGTGTGGCATTGTACCTAGGGTTTAAACATCCCAACTGAGCCTGTTAGAGTAGAGACACATAAGGCCCTAGTACACGCTGGATTGATAGGTGTGAGGGTTTTAGCATGATCTACAGGTACAGCATTTAAATGACATTTTCTCATAATGAATTTTTCTTCTGATACATGTCTGCTGTGATCCTGTGTAACACAAACACAGCATCCGTAACAGATAGACAACTGTGCCCAGACCTTAATTGTATTTTTTGTTTCATAGATACTGCTTGTAAGACTATTGTTTTTATCCTGCTTGCACAGAGTTAGAACATTTGTGATAGAATGTGACTGCACTGGATATCATCTTTTTGAGCAACTACTCATTCATATACATTCCGTCTCCTTATAGCCAGCACTTCCAGATAGCAAGTAATCAAACCATGCTTTTTTATTTCAGGGTGTGTTGACATTCAGAGATGTGACTGTGGACTTCTCGAAAGAGGAGTGGGAATGCCTGGACTCTGCTAAGAGGGCTTTGTGCATTGATGTGATGCTGGAGAATTACAACAACCTTATCTTCGTGGGTGAGAATATTTTGCTTGTAGAATTCCTAACCTGTCTTTTGTTTGTTCTGACTTCATTGGATATAAAATCTGTTAATCTGTCCTGAAAAGAGTTAAAAGGAAATAACTTTTTCATGCTATTTATTTTCTCTTTCCATTTTCCCATTTCAGAGGTGTCATCCTCTCTTCATTTTGGTTCCAAGATTCATCCGTGTAATATTTCCACTTATACTGTAAAGCTCCATGTCGGGTATTGCAGTTGACATGGTTTTAATTGTGAGAAAAATTCAGTGTATACAAACTGAAACTACTAAATATACTGAGGAATTTCATAAAAAATATCAGTCGAGAAATCTTGCCTAAATGCCTCTGCTTTTGTGTTTTCATGTACTGAGTACAGTACTGTCTCAGACTTCTCTGTACTTTCTAAAAGTTCAAGCATGGGTCATTGGCTGTGTGAAAAATCATGTGGATTATTGTGTCAAGGCAGGCATGGCCACCTGTCTGGAAACAATGAGATTGCCCTGGAATGTGGAAAGGAGAGAGAACCACAACTAGGGTGAACTAGTGAATGAGCAGGACAACAGTGAAGGCTGCAAGTGAAAGAGAAAGCCAGAGGTTCAATTCCACTTTAAAGGATTCCTGATCATATAATTTAATGTAGTGTCCTGGTACCTTGTGCATCTTGTCTATTATAGTAACTGTTAAAAGGCATTTTCTGTTATTACACCTGAATTATATAGTGACTTACTTCTAGTATAAAATTCAGTTTTATTTGACCATGCCGAAATTGGATTGGAATAATTTTTATAAAATTTTAAGTATAACATGAGACCATGAAGTAAGCATATTCTATAATTGTCTTCCTTGTATGCATATCTTTACATTATGTCCTTCATTTTCTTGCCGGTGGCAAACATGCACACACCCTTCTGGGAAATAATCTCAGGAGTCATTGTACAGAGTGGACTTGAGAACAACCCTATGAGGAAAGTTAAGAGACAATAAGTGTGTGGAGCTCAGACTGTGGAGGATAGAAATAAACTGCCATCCCAGCCCTGATACAGATGATCTAGAGGCTCTTATGTCTGGCAGAATACTCTCTTTGCATCAATGACTTTTGAAGGACCTAATGTATTTTTCTAGAGAGAAACATAAATCCTTTGATGTTTTAAGTAAGACTTTAATCCATAAAGGAATTGGGTCTTCTGAATAATACTCTTCCATGCTTATCACTTAGTAAGTATAGATACTGTGAACTTGTGATTGGATTAAACTCTTTTCATCAGTTTCTGAGAAGAAATATTTAAAGATAGAGGCATGTATTCTAAATATAACCACTCAGTGAGCTCTACCTCAAAGCTAAATCATAGCCATCAATTACTTTCTATCTTTTTTTCCAATTAGATTTTTTTTATTCATTAATTTTTTTTACAACCCAATGCCAGGTCCCCCTCCTTTCCTGTTTCCCCATGCTCCCCCACCCCACATCCCGTCTGCTCCTCGGACAAGGAGGAGCTCCCCCTAAGAAATCTACTAAGTCTATCCCATCATCTCATTGAGGCAGGACCACTGTCCCTACATCATGCCTAGTCTGGGCAAGGTGTCTCTCCATATACAATGGGCTCTACAAAGTCAGTTTATGCATTGTAGTTAGATCTTGTACCCACTGCCAGTGGCCTCATATATTGCCCCAACCACACCATTGTCACCTGTATTCAGGGAGTCCAATTCAGTCCTATGGAGGTTCCTGAGTTACCAAATAGAGTCAGTGATCTCTCACTAGTTTGGGTCTGCTGATTCTGTGGATTTCTCCATCATTGCCTTGATACATTTGTTCATATTTTTCCTCCTTCCTCTCTTCCATTATACTCCAGGATTTATATTTAGATCTTTCATCCATCTGGACTTGAGTTTTGTCCATGGTTATAAATATGGATCTATTTGCATTCTTCTATATGTCAGCAGCCAGTTACCAGCACCACTTGTTGAATGCGCTTTCTTTTTTCCATTGTGTTTTTTTAGAGTCTTTGTCTAAAATTAGGTGTTCATATGGTCCACCTGTCTGATTTTATGCTAATATCAACTGCTTTTATTACTCTAGCTCTATAAAAGAGCTTGAAGTCAGGGATTATCTTTTATTGTACAGGGTTGTATTGTCTATCCTGGTTTTTTTGTTTTCCTGTATGAAGTTGAATATTGTTCTATCAAGGTCTATGAAGAATTGTGCAGGAATTTCCATGGGGATTGCATTGACTCCATAGATTACTTTTGGAAGGGTTGACATTTTTATGTTGATCCTACCTATCCCTTTTTTGATATCTTCTTTAATTTCCTTCTTTAAATACATTCCTTGTCATAGAGATCTTTCACTTGTTTGGTTAGAATTACCCCAAAATATTTAATCTTATTTGTGGCTGTTGTAAAGTGTGATGTAGCCCTCCTACTGGTTTTTTGAGGTAATTTTGTATCCTGCCACATTACTGAAGGTGTTTATCAGTTGTAGCAATTCCCTGGTAGAATTTTTGGGGTCACTTACGTAAACTGTCATATCAGCAAATAGCGGGAGTTTGACTTTTCTGATTTTATCCGCTTGCTTTCCTTTTATTGTCTTATTGCTCTAGCTAGAACTTGGAGTACTATATTGAACAGATATGGAGAGAGTGAATAGCCTTATCTTCTTGTTCCTGATTTCAGTGGGATTGCTTTGAGTTTCTCTCCATTTAGTTTGAGGTTGGCTGTTGGCTTACTGTATGTATATTGCCTTTATTATGTTTAGGTATGTTCCTTGTATTCCCATTGTCTCTAAGACCTTTATTATGAGTGAGTGTTGAATTTTGTTAAGGGCCTTTTCAGCATCTACTGAGACGATCATGTGGTTTTTCTTTCTTTTTTCTTTAAGTTTGTTTATAATGTTGAACCATCCTTGTATCTCTGCGATGAATCTTACTTGGTCATAGTGGGTGATTTTTCTTGATGTTGATTATTATGTGGTAAGCATGAGGGGCCTTTTTTGTTGTTGTTGTTGTTCAGTCTATTTGGTGTTCTGTAAGCTTCCTGTACTTCCATAGACATGTCCTCCTTTAGGTTGGGAAGGTAGGTTTTCTATGATTTTGTTGAATATATTTTCTGTGACTTTGAGTTGTACTTCTATCCGTATTATTCTTAGGTTCGGTCTTTTTATGGTATTCCAGATTTCCTGTATGTTTTGTGTTAAGGGTTTGTTTGATTTAAAATTTTCTCTGTTGAATCTGTTTCCTCTATCATATCTTCAGTGCCTGAAATTCTCTCTTCCATTTCTTGTATTCTGTTGTTTATGCTTGTGTTTGTAGTTGCTAATCATTTTCCCAGATTATCTTTTCTTTATTGCCTCTAGTTCAGATTTCAAGTCTTAAATCATTTCCTTTACCTGTTTGATTGCTTTTTCTTGGTTTTCTTTAAGATTTATTGATTTCTTCCAATTTCTTGTTTGTATTTTCCTTTATTTCCTTAATGGAGTTTCTCATTTCCTCTCAAAGTGTGTTAATCATCCTCGTAAAGTTATTTTTAAGGTCATTTTCTTCTGCTTCATCTGTGTTGGGTTGTTCAGGTTTTGCTATTGTATCACCACTAGTTTCTAGTGGTGCCATATTGCTTTTTATCTTGTTGAGTGCTTTCTTACTTTTTTGTCTATGCATATCTTCCTCCAATCAGCATAGGTGAAGCTTATGCTTAACGGGGTATCTCTTTCTCCACCTGGTATAGTTGGGGGCTATGGCTCTGTTGACCGCTCCTTTAGTGCAAGCAGAGCAGAACCTTCGGTGATCACTGCTCTTGCTGGAAGTGGGCCCAAGGCACGGGTGTTCACTCCTTGAGTATAGGTGGGATTACAGCTTCCGTTGGATGCTTCTGTTGGAGGCAGGATCACGTTTCCATCGATTGTTCCTTTAGGTGTAGGTATAGCTGGGGTTCCAGTGTTCAATGTAGCTACAGGGTGTCTCAAATGGAGAAATGGCAGTGGATGCTTGTTGGGACACAGGTGTTGTTTTCCAGAGAAATTTGGTGCAATATCTTCTGGAAGCCACTGCTGGAAGCTGCTCCTATTGTTCCCCCAGCAATCACTCCCTGGTTCAGGGCTGGTGGCTTGGATCTCCCTCTGACACTGCTCCTAAGCCCGAGGCTTAACTTCCCTCTGATGGTGCTCTCAGGCCTGAGACTCAGGCCTCTCTCTCCAGTTAGAGATTTTTGATAAAGAGAGATATCTGTTATAACTCACTAACCTTTGAAGGCTGTCATGCTGTGTTTGTGAGAATCCATACAATTACAGTGAATGAAAAATGTCCATTATTGTGAGCTTTAATCCAAACAGTGTCATGTTCATTTATGTTAAGTAACAACTTAGGGAGACAGTCATTTATCATGTGTTTATTATTAGAACAAGCCCTATTAATCTGAACTGTACTCATTTTCAGAGAAGTATTGCAAATATGATCCTGTCCATCACCATGGGAAGGCTGAAAAGGAGTGTTGTCAGTGTAATGAGCTTGGCAAAGTGCTTCATGACCCCTCCACATGTGCACTTTATAGAACAAGTGAAATTACAGAAAAATCTAGTAACTGCATTTGCAGTAACCACAGGGATGCCTCTTTTAACTCATCAAACCTAGATAAACATGATAGCATGCACACTGGAGAAGAACCTTGCAAATCCAAAGACTGTGAGAATTCAGTAAATTTGTGTTCTAACATTACTGAAGATCAGAGGCTCTACACTGCAAAGAAAGATCACAGGCCGGGAGAATATGATGACTCTTTCAGCTCTGCATACAGGATTTTGCAACAACTAATCCATATTGGAGTGAAACAACACCATTGTGAGACATGCGGGAAATGCTTCAAGACTGCTGCATACCTCACTGTACATCAGAGAATTCATACTGGAATTAAACCTTACAAGTGCAATGTTTGTGAAAAATCCTTTACCCAGAGTTCAAGCCTTAAAATTCATAAAAGAGTTCATACTGGGGAGAAACCTTACAAGTGCAAAGAATGTGGAAAGTCATTTCGTCAGTTGTCAGGAATTAATAGCCATCAGAAAAGGCATACTGGAGAGAAACCTTACAAATGCAAGGAATGTGATAAATTTTTTGCCTATTCTTCCTCTGTCAAGAAACATCAAAAAATGCATAGTGCTGGGAGACATTATATTTGTCAAGAATGTGGCAAGATCTTTCTTCTGCTTTCACATTTTAAAAGCCATTTCAGACTCCATATTGTAGAGAAGCTTTACAAATGCAATGAGTGTGATAGGTCCTTTCCCCGCTATTCATCATTGATTAGGCATAGGAAAACTCATTTTCTAGAGAAGTTTCACAAATGTAAAGAATGTGGTAAGTGCTTTCTTAAATTATCACATCTTAAAAGACATTACAGAATCCATACTGGTGAAAAGCCTTATAAATGTGAGGTATGTGGCAAATCCTTTACCTGCAACTCAACTCTTAGAAGACATCAGAAAATCCATACTGGGGAGAAGCCTTACAAATGTGAGGTATGTGACAAATCCTTTACTTGGAAATTGTACCTTACAAGACATCAGAGTGTTCACACTGGAGAGAAACTTTACAGATGTAAGAAATGTGACAAGTCTTTTACTAGCCGCTCATATCTTAGAGGACATCAGAAAATTCATACTGGAGGGAAACTTCACAAATGCAAAGATTGTGACATAACTTTTACCCATATGGCAAAGCTTAGAAAACATCAGAGAGTTCATACTGGAGAGAGACCTTATAGTTGTAAGGAATGTGACAAGTCCTTTATTAGTTGCTCACATCTTAGAAGACATCAGAGAGTTCATACTGGTGAGAGACCTTACAGTTGTAAGGAATGTGGCAAATCTTTTACTAGGTGTGATTATCTTAGAAGACATCAGAGAGTTCATACTGGACAGAGACCTTACAGTTGTAGGGAATGTAACAAATCTTTCACTAGGTATGAACATCTTAAAACACATCAAAAAATACATACTGGAAAGAAAACTTCCAAACTCAAAGACTGACATATTCTATATTCATATTACAAGACTTAGAAGACATCAGAAAAATAATACTAGAGAAAAAAATACCATTGTGAACAATGTGATATAGCATTTATGTTCTATTCTCTGCTTACAAATCACAACTGTGTATATAATAGAAATATAAAGATAAGAAAGTTGTGAAAGCCTTTAATGAGGTCTAAGTTTTAGAAAATATCAGAGTTTACACCAAAATAAAGTTCTCCAAATGATACTGTGGTAAAAGCTGCTCTGTGTGCTTTGCATGCTTGTTTTACTGGCACTGTATAGGTCTAGTGCTGGTGGATGCCAGAGGGTTCATCAGATTCCCTAAAGCCGGAATTCCAGACAACTGTGAGCTGCTCTGTGTGGGTGTGGGTGGGTATGGGTATGTGTGGGTGTGTGTGTTTGGAATGGAACCCCAGACCTCAGAAAGATCAGCCAGTGCTCTTAACCGCAAAGTGCTACCTCCAGCCCGTGGGAAAAGCTGTCATAAAAACATTTTTCTTCTTCAACATCCAGAATTTCATAACAGTGCCAACCATGATGGTGCAAGCCTTTAATCCTACCCTCAGGAGACAGGGGTAGGGGGATTTCTGAGTGTGAAGCCATTGTGATCTATAGTGAGTTCCAAGCTAGCTAGGATGACATGAATCCTGGCTCTTAAACTCATGAGAACCAAATGTAATAACATTTAAAAAAAATGTGAAAAATCCTTGAATTTTTTCTCTAATTTTGCTGCACATTACAAAATTCATCTTCTGAGCAACCATGTAAAAGCATACTTTTACAATTCCTGTTTTGTTGTTTATTGGAGATTCTGTCCCTTAAATGCGTTCAATTTACGGACACTTTACCTAGTTCTGAATTGTTTACATTTTAAAAAGTGATGGTTGGTCCTGCCTGGGAGGATGAGAAGGCATCTGGGAAGGGGTGGGGGCTTGTGGAGGCATCCAACCAATCTGGAATCCCCCTCCCCAGTTCAGTTTTGAGGAAGTGCCCTTACTTGGCAGGAGCCCAGAATGAGACTCCCTAGAGGTGGGACTCACCCTGTGAGCTCCCCCAGCCTATCCTGCCTGGCCACAGGTGCCCTGGATGAGGCCCAGCTGCTTCATGTCCCCTGCCTAAGTGGCAGCCTCTCCTTGCCTAGGTCCCTGTGCCAAGTCCATGACTGACACCGTCCTCCTCATGCTAATACCTTGGCACCTCTGCATAGGCGGCTAGGATGAATCCATCAGGAAGAGAAAGACAAGCTAGGGCATTTAGCTCCTTTGCATTGTGCCATGCATAGTGGGAGCTTGCACGCAGTAGGCTCTCATTCTTCTAATCGATGGATAAAATGGGGAGCAACATGAAACACAGGTGCCAGGTTGTATTTAACCTTGAGGGAGGAAACATCACTGAGAATGTGGACATGAACTCCAGCAGGTTTCTGTCTGTCAAAGAGAACACCGTCAGTCTGGGAGAGTCCACTCCCCAGCAGCAGAGAAACCCTTAAGAGAAAACTTTGCCTTACATCTGGGACTCACTCAGTCCTTCAATGAACTTTTCTAGATGAAACCAAAACTCTGCCTCAGAGATTCCCCCAGGTTATTGAAATAAGCATGGAGAAAGAATGACTCTGTGTCATCCTTAGAACAAGGCTTGCGTGAGGAGACTCCTCTCTGTGGGTTTGTGTTTCCCTATGAGAACTTCTAGCAAGCAGCCAAAGCCTCTGTTTCCAATAAAAGAATTAATGCTTTCTGAATTAATGCTCAATAAATGCCCTTTGCTGCTGGCTCAGATTTAGTACAAAGTGGAATTGGATTAAACACCATACAGCCCCTGTGAGCTCACGTTTAACATTGACACATTTGATCCCTCACTGGTATCTCCAGAAGATGAAGAACATAGGCTCTGAAGGGGAAGATGGCTTAGTATCAAAGAAGGGGTAGACACCACACCTCCTGCAACAAGTACACACATTTGAAGCCACTGCACAGGTCAATCCATTGTACAAACTGGGACCAAAGTTAGCCCCCTGGGATGATGGAAATAAGTGGTGATGGTTCTTCAGTACCACAAATGAATTGTAACTCAGAGGAGGACTCAACCACCCTGTCCCTGCAGTCATAAAGGCAGAGGCAGCACCAAGTGTCCTGGGTCAGCCACATTAGAAGACAGGGAGCTTGGAAAGTTCATATGCAGATATATTACATACACTGCCTTGTGCCAGATTTGCTTCAGATCATGGGGAATCCCTGTTACTGGGTGTGATGGACCCATAGGAAGCAGAAGCCCTTCTGCATGGAAAACCTAAAGGCACGTTTTTGTTTGTTTGTTTTGTTTGTTTGTTTGTTTGTTTTTGCTTAGGGACTCTGAACAGGAGGACTACTTCTCCAGGACCTCCCACCTCCTTGACAAACCCCAGCATGCCCTAATAGAACAGTGGAACCACAACTTCAGTTTCACTGTCCACAACCCCTGTGAGTTTTACTCTTTCACTGTCCCTGGGCTTCTGGAGTATTATAAAGACCCCCAGCACTTGCATATTTTTTGAACCATTGCTTACAAATATGGGTGCCATTATATTTGGGGCATAAATGTTCAGGACTGAGACTTCATCTTGATGGATTTCTTTTTCCTGTGATGAATATAAAATGTCCTTCATCTCTTTTGGTTACCTTTAGTTTGAAGTCTGTTTTGTTTGATATTAGAATAGCTACACCTGCCTGTGTCTTAGGACTATTTGATTGGAAAGTTTTTTCCCAAACACTTTGAGGAATGTCTGTCTTTGAGGTTGAGGTGTGTTCTTGTATGCAGCAGAAGAATGGATCCTGTTTTCCTATCCATTCTGTTAGTCTGTGTCTTTTTATAAGCAAGTTGGATCCATTGATATTAAGTGATATTAATGACCAGTGATTGTTAATTCCTGTTACTTTTTTTTGTGGTAGTGTGTGTATCTGAGTTTGCCTTATTTAGGATTTGCTGGTGTGGGATTATCTATTGCCTGTACTTTCCTGGTTGTAGCTAACTTCCTTAGTTTGGAGATTTCCTTCTACTTCTTTCTGTAGTGCTGGATTTATGAATAGGCATTGTTTAAGTCTGGTTTTTTTTCTGAATATCTTGTTTTCTCTGCCTATAGGGATTGAATTTTTTTTCTGGGTATAGTAGTCTGGGTTGGCATCCATGGTCTCTTAAAGTCTGCATAATTGCATAATGTCTGTCCAGGATCTTTCTGCTTTCAGGGTCTCCATTGAGAAGTCAGGTGTTATTCTGATGGGTCTGCCTTTATGTGTTACTTGGCTTTTTTTTCCTTTGCAGCTTTTAATATTTTTTCCCTTATTCATATATTTTTATGTTTTGATTATTATGTGTCGGGGGACTTTTTAGGGTGTCCAGTCAATTTGGTGTTCTGTAGACTTCTTGTATTTTCATAGACATGTCCTCTTTTAGGTTGGGAAAGTTTTCTTCTATAGTTTTGCTGAATATATTTTCTGTGCCTTTGAGTTGGTATTCTCCCTCTTCTATCCCTGCCATTCTTAGGTTTGGTCTTTTCATGGTGTCCCAGATTTCCTGGATGTGTTGTGTTATGACGTTTTTGGCTTTAATATTTTCTTTGACTGATAAATCTATTTCTTCTGTCATATCTTCAATGCCTGAGATTCTCTCTTCCATCTCTTGTATTGAGTTGTTAATGCTTCCATCTTTAGTTCCTGTTCACTTGGCCAGATTTTTGATTTCCAGTATTCACTCAGTTTGTTTTCTTTATTGCCTCTATTTCAATTAAGTCTTGAACTATTCCCTTCACCTGTTTAATAGCTATTTCTTGACTTTCTTTAAGAGATTTACTGATTTCTTCCAATTGTTCCCTTCAATTTCTTCAAGGAAATTTTTCATTTCCTCTTTGAGAGTCTCTATGTTCTTGATGAAGTTATTTTAAGGTCATTTCTTTTCTTCTCCTTCTGCATTGGGATGTTCAGGTCTTCCTGTTGTAGGAACAGTAAGTTCTAGTGGTCCCATATTGCATTTTAGGTTGTTATGAATATATTCTTGTACTGGTGCCCACCCATCTCTTCCTCTAATTGGTGTAGGCAATGTCTTTGTCTTTTGGTCTGATCATTGCAGTTGGTCTGTGTCTCAGGAAGCCATTCTTGGTCCAGTCAGTGTAGTCACTCTCTATGTCTCAGGGAGCCCCTGAGGCCTCAGGGGATGGGTGGGTTTGGGCTTGGGGTGGAACTTTTAGTTTACCTGATAAGATGGGGGTAAGGGGGTGGAGCAGCCTGTCTGCAGAAGGCTTGTCTGCTGACCAGCCAGTAAGGATGAGACAGGTAAGGGAGGGGCTGGGGTATTTTCCTGGGGCCTAGAGCCTTGGGACTTGGCTGTTCAGCTGGGAGGCTGGTCGCTTACCTATTTATCCACTCTGTGCACTTGCTTTCGGGGTCTCAGGGAGCCACTGAGGTGTAGGGGGAGGGGATAGGTATGTTTGGGCATGGGGTGGGACTTATAGATTACAGGGGGCTGGAGCAGCCTGTCTTGCAGGAGGCTTCTTGCCTTTAATCCATATCTTGAGGTGGGAGGACCCATGCCTTTGAAAAATATCAGGAGGCTGGAAAATAGAACTTTAACCTGGGCCTCCCCTTCTGCTAGAAGCCTATACAAGGATATGGAAGAGTGAACCTTTTGTTCCTTGTCTGTTTGCCCTGGTGTTTTTTTAGCACATTCATCCCTTCACTGACATTGGAGCCTACTTCTTTGAGATTCCATTGTACACTGAAGACCAGCTGAGACATCCAGCGTTGTGGACAGCTAGCCATTTTGGGACGTGTTGGGGAGATTTCAGAGATGTGTTTTCTGGCATTACTTAGGTGTGATGGCTACTTCTGGTTCTCAAATGACTACATCTGCAATGAACTACAGTTCAGATGGAGAGCACACCTGTGATTACTTTTGCTTGGTTTAAAGGGTGTAGTCTGGATCTTTGAGGTGGGAAGGTACACACTTTTGAAAATGGTCTTGAGTCTAGAAGTTACACCTTTAACCTAAGCCATATACTCTCCTGAAAGGAGATGGACAGAGAAGATTGAAGCTTTTGTTCCTTTCCTGTTTGTGGTCTCATTTCCTTGGTATCATATCCATTCCTTCACTGGTATTTGAAGCCCACTTCTTTGGAATTCCAGCATATACTGAAGACCACAAGAGACATACAGCCTTGTGGATAGAGAAACTGCTTGAT